CAGAGACAGAACACAGATCAGTGGTAGCTGGGAGAGGGAGAGCGAGGGTGGAGGGAAACTGCAAAGAAACAAGAGGAAATTCTGTGGCGTTGAAAATATTCTCTCACTTGTGATATGCTTATGGCATGGTTGCATGGATGGATACATTTGTCAAAACTTACTGAATTTTACACTTAATAGGTGCATTTTATTTATAAAACATACATAATATACATATTTGTATACAATATACATAATTTATACATATGTGTATTATATAATTTACATACATGCAAATTATACCTTAATACAGTTGATTTTTTTTTTTTTTTTTAGAAAGGAGGCCCCATTGGGTGAAAATGAATGTTTATCGACACGTGCCTCCACAGCCCACATCATCCTCTCACCATTTGCCTTGAAAAAGAAGGAAGTCTAGGCAGGGAGAGCTCAGAGCTTAAGGTTTCTCTTGCTCAGGAAGCCAAGGTCTCACCTGGGCTAGGTAGTAGCCATTGGCTGAACGAAGCTGCACAGTGGGGCTCTCACTGTCACATTCAAACTGGAACAAGGACATTGGGGTTAAGCGCTCAGAAGCAGCACGCACCTCATCATCTGCAGAGGAAGCGCATGTCAGTAAAAGCCTCACCCTCAGTCTCGGCCCCTTCTCCATGTTTTATGACCAGGGCTTCTGTCCCTCCTTTTTCCCTTCTCAACCTTCATCACTTTCTGTTGGACCATGGTAGGTCTGCAGAAGACCCAGGCAACTTTCCCCTAAACCCCATACCCATGCTTTTCTGTCCTTCTCGACGGCACAAAAGATCCCCTTGGGACCCCAGGATCTTCCTTATTAGCAGACTCAAAAATCTATGCTGATCCCAAACACATTTTCCTCTTTTCAACAGCCAGCCCTTCCTCTCTCCATCGCTGTGTTGGGCCCAGCACTTACCGTAGATGACTGAAATGAACCGCCGAGTCTTTGACCTGAGTCTCACCCAGGTTGGGCAGTGCTGTAGGATGAACCACTCCTCACCCCTCACGGGGTTGCAGCCCAGGCCCAAGAGCAGATGCGTGCCCTGTGGATATAACATGCCTCCTTCTCCATCACACAGTGCCACAAGCCCTCCAGGCCGCACTTGCATGTGAAAAGCTGTCTGTGATGAGGGTTGGGAGAACAGCCGGTCTACATGGGACAAAAAGTGGTGTGTAGAGGTCTCCAGGTGGTAGCATCCATCTCGAAAATGCAACAGGAAGCCACACTCCTCCAGGCAGGGAACTGCTGCATCCACCCAGATGCGGCCCATAGTGGGGTCAGCCCGGGCATAGCAGCGGTGGATGGGGCTGTAGAGGATCACGTGGACATGGAGGGCTGGTCGGGGAGTCCACATGTGGTAAGCTGAGAGGACCCGGGAAGTGCAAAACACGTCCTTGCCATTGGACTCCAGATAACGACCAGAAATTAGGCACTGGAGGGTCCACTTGCTGTTCCGGTGGAAACGCAATAGAAAGCACCCATGGTGGCTGGTCCTTGGGCGGCCGTAACACATAGTGCCATCACACTCACACAGCAGGTAGAGGCCCTGCACACTCTTTAGTCGTACCACGGCCTGTGTCTCATGCTCATTGCTCACCAGGATCTCCCAGGTCTGGAGGCATCAGGAGGCAGAGGAGGGAAATCAGTGTCACTAAGTTACCAGACCAAGGAGCCCTGCAACTGTCATGGCTGGCATCATCCTGGCACCTTCATCAGCACCAACCACCTGCCCTTCCACATCAGCCCTGGTATCTCCTTGCTGTCAGCTCTTCCACTTTCCCACTCTCCCCTCATCAAAAGATCTCTGGGCCCTTCCACCCCTGCAGTCAGATGGCAAGATCCAAAGATAAGTTCTTGATGTCCACCTCCTTCAGCTAACAGAAGGTAAACCTCCCTCCTTTCTTAATCCCGCTCTTCAATATCTAATTTTTAAAGAAATGCTTTGGTATAAGTCTTACTTTTTTCTTCCTCACTGTTGTCCACAGAGAGCACCCTTAGCCAATAACTCCATCCCCAAAGGTTGCCTTCCAGCATAGCAAGACAGAAGCAAAAGCTCTTATAGGCAGGCCCTGGCTCCAGGGATGAAGATGGGAGCACAAACAGTTCAGATGCAACTGCCTGGTTCAGCTGTGATCAACCTTGTTATAAAAGGAAGAACTTCTCCCCTGCCTCACTCTGGCACCCATCCCAGAGGTGCCTACATTCCTCTCTAGAATGAAGACCAACACTGCTAGGGCTTCTGGAGTTCCCCTTTCTCAAACCACAACCAGAACAGAAACATAGGCTTTGCAATAACTCCACTGGTCCAACTTCCCCTGGATGCCCACAATTCTGCTTTCCCACCTGGGCTCTCCACTTCTCTTCTTTATGACACAACCACCCTGTGCTGGGATGGGGAATAGGGGACAGTTAGAGCAGGACAAGGCAGCGAGGGCAAGGCTGAGGCTTCTTTTTGTGGAATAAGTTGAGAGGTGGGAGATGGGGCAATGGGGTCTGTGAACAAAAGCCTGGAGTAGAAAAGTCTCAGGGCTGGCAATGGCAGAACCTAGGAAAGTGATTAGGTTGAGAGTACATCCCACTTTCATATACAGGCAAGTGCATACACACACACACACACACACACACACACACAGACACACACACACACACACGCAGACACACACACAGCTTGGCCACTCAGAAAACTGGTTCCAGTATAGGTTTGCTTTGTCACCTGTCTCCTGCCCAAACTCTTCGCAGTTGCAGTGACTGTATTCTTGCATGCCTCAAAGGTGAGGTAAGTTCCTGCCCAGCTGATGAGCCCAACCCTTAGGTCCTCAGCCTTGGGATGTCTGTGTATCCACTCCATCTCATCCATGGGGCCGACACCACAGGTGATGACTCCGTCTGGCCCAGCCCTCCCCCCCGTAGTGAGGTTCCACAGGCCATAGGGCCTGTAGTGCCCACCAGATGTTCCCAGAGAGAACTTCCCAGGCAGAGGCTGGCCTGGGGCCCAGCACCTCTGTGACCCGGGAGCATTGTGACTGTGAGGGCAGCCTATTATCCCACTGTAGTGGGGAAAGGGCCCTTGCCCAGCAGCATTAATCCATGGCCTAGAGGAGGCGGGTCCAGAGCCTCCGGTGTTTGCGTTCCTATTCCCCTCTGGGGACCGAGGTAGGCTGAGCTGAGACCAAGATCTGGAACTTCAACCTGTGAATTTAGGCAAGTTTTCCCCTTTCTTTACCTCTGTTTCTCATTCTAATAACAGGATAGAAATCAACCTCTTTCCTCCCAAGGAAGTGGGTTCTGCCTGGCTCCCTTGCAGCTCAGGTATTTTGTTAAGTAAAAGATATCCAAGAAAAATCTATCAACTTTTATGGCCTTTAAGAGGATGAGGTCAAAATGTTCCAGATGTTGCTTTGCAGGGAGTATGAGGAAACCCTAGTTAATCAGCTGACATCAAATAACACATATTCATCACGAAGGCTGGCTCAGGACCTGGGTAAGGAGAAGCGCATAGGTGGAGAGAGCACCAAGCAGCCCTCCTCAACCCCAGCTGCTCTGCTGGTGGGTAGGACAGCTGGCTGGGCAGACAGTCAGAGCTCCTGCAAGGATATCTTTCCCCTTCAAAGAATCTCCGAGTTATAGTCTCTTGGACTCACTTCCTGCAAAGCTTGAGGAGAAAACCCAGCTCAGAACCTGGAAAAAGTGACATGAAGGAAAAAGTGACATGAAAGAAAAAGAAAGGCAAAAAGAAGTGATGATGAGTTCTGCCTAAGCCTGGCTAGGATCCAAGGAAAAATGGGCAGTCAATCACACTTGGAGAATAGGCCACTCTCCTGGTTCCTTTTTTTGAGACAGGGTCTTGCTCTGCTAGCTAGGTTGGAGTGCATCTCAGTTGACCACAGCCTTGATCTCCCAAGCTCAAGTGATCCTCCTGCCTCAGCCTCCTGAGGTGCTGGGACCACAGGTGTGCACCTCCACAACCAGGTAATTTTTTATTTTTGTTTTTTTGTAGAGATGGGATCTTGCCCTGTTGCCCAGGCTGGTCTTTAACTTCTGGGATCAAGCAATCCTCCTGCCTCAGCCTCCCAAAGTGCTAGAATTACAGGCATGAGCCACAGTGCCCAGCCACCCCTGGTTCCTTACACCTGCTTTCCTATTCCCCATAGGTGGGGTCTTCCCAGGTAGCAAGAGTCTCAGTGGCGAGCAGCAAGGAACTACAAGCCCCAGACTCCACCCATGTTTTATAAAATAAGGATAATAGACTATTAGTGGCAGAATCCTCTGGGTAATTTTATTTTTTATTTTTTTGAGACGGAGTCTTGCGCTGTCACCCTGGAGTGCAGTGGTGTGATCTCAACTCACTGCAAGCTCCGCCTCCTGGGTTCACACCATTCTCCTGTCTCAGCCTCCCGAGTAGCAGGGACTATAGGTGCCCGCCACCGCGGCCGGCTAATTTTTTGTATTTTTTTTTTAATAGAGACGGGGTTTCACCGTGGTCTCAATCTTCTGACCTTGTGATCCACCCACCTCAGCCTCCCAGTGCTGGGATTACAGGTGTGAGCCACCGCGCCTGGCCTCCCCTGGGTAATTTTAAAGATTCATATTGTTGGGCATGAGACTAGTCCTGACGAATCACATTTTCTGAAACGTACCTCAGGATTCGCATTATTAACGCACATTCTCTCCCCCTCTAATTTTAATGTGCAAGGCAAACATTAAGAACTGCTCTAAGTAGCTATGAGAATGATGGGAAGAGTTACGTGGTTCATGGAACTATGAAGGGAGATCCTGTAATCTTCAGCAAAGGGTCCTTGGAGCTGGAAAGGAATGAGACTTCCACCACTGGAAACCCTACAGTATTTCCAGCCCAATAAGGAGGGAGAAGCTGAGCTGAAGGTATGTGTGGGTGGGGTTGCCCTGCAGCCTTAGCTGCTTTGATCCTCTCCCATGTTGTCTCTTGGTACCCAGTAACCCAGCCTCCCCGTTGCAGGCTATAGACAACACCGTGTACAAACCACAGCAAATTTATTACTCAAGATCCAGTGCCACATTATAGCACCACCCGGAACCCTCACCTTCCCCCCCAACCTGGCCCCTAGAGTACACCCAAAACAGAAAAAAAAGGAAACCCAGATCCCTGCTCCTCCTCTGGAAGAGGGGGCCTTGGCCAGGAAGCCCCTTCCATAGGTCCCAGCAGGCAGGAGAGTGGACCCCTCTGTGCCCAGAGAGCAAGGCTCCAGGCTCCAACAACAGAGAGAACATGCAGGCAGGAGCAGGAGCAGAGGCCTGTGGCTGTGGGGGAGGAAGAGTGGGAGGAAAGGGCACTGCCTGAGGAGTCCGGGAGTCTGGTCATCCCGGGGATGCACACAGGAGCTTCCGGGCATCAGGGGCCTGCCCCTGGCTGGTTAGCGCTTTGACAGCTCGTGGGACAGCCAGTCCAGACCATCATAGAGACCTGTGCCTTGGGTGGCACAGGTGGCCTGGACATACCACTGTGGGGAAAAGGAAAGAAAGAGGTCAGCAACCAGGAACAAAAGGGCCTTTATATCCCTGTCCCAGCCTGTGGCCTCCCTAAAGAGGCAGGATTCAGCACCAGGTGGGCAGGACCCTTACCGTGCGGCTGCGCAAGTGCTGTAGCCCCAGCTTGTCAGTCAGCTCGCTCACGGGCATGGCGTTGGGCATGTCTTGCTTGTTGGCAAATACCAGCAGCACTGCATCCCGTAGCTCGTCCTCCTGCAGCTGAGAGGGGAGAAGAGAAGGTGGGACCCAGGCTGCGTCTTCTTTACTGTGCGGGGAATTCCCTTTCTACCTCCTAGGATCTTGACTGGAAAAAAAAATATTGTGTAGTCTGCCACTGAAGACAAGACATAGTTGTAAATGAGCTTGAGGTGACCTGAGCCGTAAGTCCAGAAAAGAAAGACCTTTTCCTAATTTGAGTACTTGCCTAGGCAAAATGACAACATTTCCAAATGGAAAAGGCAAGAATGTAAAATGTTTCTCTTTACCACATATAAGTCCCATTTCCCCTGCAACTTCTCAGACTCAGATGTAAAGACATGAGAATGCAGCTGGGCGCGGTGGCTCATGCCTGTAATCCCAGCACTTTGGGAGGCTGGGGCAGGTGGATCACCTGAGGTCGGGAGTTCGAGACCAGCCCGGCCAACATGGTTAAACCCCATCTCTGCTAAAAATACAAAAATTAGCTGGGCATGGCAGAAGGCGCCCGTAATCCCAGCTACTCAGGAAGCTGAGGCAGGAGAATCGCTTGAACCCGGGAGGCAGAGGTTGCAGTGAGCCGAGATTGTGCCTTTGCACTCCAGCCTGGGCAACAAGAGCAAAACACCATCTAAAAAAAAAAAAAAAAAAAAAAAAAAAAATTTGTGCAAATTATAAACAAAACATTTAAAAAACCCTTTATCAATAAAAAAAAAAAAAAATATGAGAAAAACTCCTGAAAGGAAGGAACTCACTGAAACTACTTAGATCTCAGCAGGGACACAAAACCAGAAGGCAATGATCAAGGCCCAGGGGAACAGAACCCCAGAACTGCCGGTCAACAGGGCGGGGCTAGGTCACATCCACCCCGCCTCCGGCATCCACGTAGAGATACCCTGACCCACTTCTCAAATAGCTGTATCTGGTGTCAGGGTCAGCTCCAGAAAAGTGGCAGAACTGGGAGCAGACCCCGAGAGGGCCCGCCGCGGCGCTCCCGCTCCCTGCTTCGTCCCCGGGCTCACCTATGGTTGGGATGGTGGTGACAATCTCCCCCAACTTCAGTTTGTACAGGATTGTGGTCTTGCCAGCCGCATCCAAGCCAACTGCAACGGAGAGGGGCACAGGGATGGAGATGGGAGCGAGGGAGCCCCCTAGAGACCAGGGAAAATGAGAGGCCACAACAGCTGATGGTGACGGGGGCGGAGAGCGGGAGCGCCTCCAGGTGCGCGTCGTTATCTACCTTCGGGGCCTGGAGGGCAGTTGGGTGGCGTGAGCCAACTCCAAAGAGGGCGCGGCGCGGGAAAGGGCTGGGATGCAAGGGGCACGGGGGGTAGGCCGCGCTCCTTTTAAAAGTCGTCTCCAAGGGCGGAATCCTCCCTTCTTATCAGCCGGGCAGGGGCGGAGGGAGCTTCACCCCACCCAGGCCCGCAGCTCCGGGTGTCAGGCCCCGG